ACGCTGAATACTTAATCTAGATTAGAACTAAGTTCCTCAGTTTATTGAACGCTGAATACTTTATCTAGATTAGAACTAAGTTCCTCAGTTCATTGAACGCTGAATACTTTATCTAGATTAGAACTAAGTTCCTCAGTTTATTGAACGCTGAATACTTTATCAAGATTAGAACTACGTTCCTCAGTTTATTGAACGCTGAATACTTTATCAAGATTAGAACTAAGTTCTTTAATTCATTGAGCTGCTATGGAAACAATGTGGGCTTGTTGATATTGTGGGAGCATTATTTTAAAGCTGTTCAGTCGAGTATCTATTCTAAATTACTGTTACAACTCACGCAATGCATCCACATTCTTCCTGAAACACACGCACATTCCTATTAAAAACACATTGTGTCATGTGCATTTCCATGACAATAATTAAATTACAAGCTATTTTTTTCTAATCTGCTGAAATAAAAATTGCGTTATGATCACCAGATACCATGATTTGGTACACTTATTTATGCTACATATCACATTTCACAAAACATTTCTTTTCCCGTTTAAATGTGTGCTCTTTTTTTGCAACCATTGAACCCACATAAAACCGCCAAAGAAAAAAAAAACTTTTTTTTGATACCTGACAGAACCAGAAAAAGCAATTACACATATGGATATATGCGTATTGTTTACATGTCCCGCTGATTTAAAATTCCACAGCTGTAACATTGTTCTGAAACAGATTCTGAAAAACAAGAGCGACGAAATTTCACGTTTTAATCAAATTTTTTGGGGGAAATATGGTGAATAGAAAGCTGCAAAAAAAACTAGTGTAATTTTTTTGGAATCACGATGTACGAAATGGGTTGCATCCTAGAAGCTTTAAATTATTTGCAGCATGTCATGTGCTGTGAATTTGATAACATATCACTTTACATTTTTTTTCGTCCATTATATGCAGTCGCGAGAGAATTTTTATTCATTGTGATGGATCTTGTGGTGCTGGCTGTTGTGAAAAGTGATGAGAAATTGCAATTGATTATCATTCTATTGTGCGAATTTTATAATAATCAACAACATGTGATTTTAAAAACGGAGTTCTTTCGTGAATTTAAGAACGACAATAAAAAATAATCTTGATAAGAATATTTTTAGAATTTTTTCATAAATCATTCACAAAATTCATGATGACATTTCTGAGAAATTTAATTTTTGTGAGGAAGTTTTATGAAATTTTAATTTACTGTGACATTTCTAACAAGATTTTGTAAATCTGATGGGGAGTTTTTGTGGATTAGGGGATTCTTTGAGGATTCGTCCTTAGATTTTTGATCCTAGGGTCTAAGGTTCTATTCTAAGTTTAAGTGTCAAGTGTTCAAGTATCTCTTAAAGACTCAATAAAGGTCTAAATAATTCCATTAAAATATGGAAATTGAATAAATCAAAAAGAAGAAAAAAATCTTCTCAATACAAATCCGCAAGCAATTGAAACCTTAGAAAAACTCACCTTAAAATCATGAAATTTGATACAGGCCGATAGAAATAAAAATCTCATAAATTCATCACGTCTTGTGTTTGGAAAAACGCGAATCTGCTGTATCACCTCAGCATACTCATTCATTATGATTCAACGTGAGCCTTAACCAGAGCACTTTTCTATTATTTGCTCAACGATTTGCATAAAAAAAATTTGTACACAGCCATGAAATTCTCACTCATGAAGAGTGGTGGGTGGAAGCAGTGTGTATACTTTTGCGGATGATTTTCGCAAATTTAATTAAATTCAGGAAACGCTCAAAATGGTTGAGAAATGTTTCATTAGACACACAATTTTCACTTGGGCATGATTCTCTCGAATTGAGCGCCTGTCTGTCTATATATTTCTTTCACTTACTCACATTCTCTGCCTTAATGAAGCTAATAGAAATGCACGGAAATTACAGCATCCTTGAGTGATGTGAGAGAATTGAATGAAAAATCTGTAGAAGCCAAAATTTTATGTGTCAATAAAAGTTCTCGTCTTGGCTCAATTTTCATCTGTCAGATTTGCTAGTCTGACTGTGTTAATTTACGTCTTACAAAGCCACCGTGTAGATTGAAGGAAATGGAAGAAGATTTCCTCTTTATGTCTTTCCTTAGAAGATGTAATTGTGAGTTTTGTAATTTTATCTTTTGAAAGAAATGGAGGTAGAGTTGAAATTTACTGATTTTAACAATAGGAAGTAAATTTAGGTCAATTAGAGCTTATTTATCAATCCACCAAGAGTCTCTTTCGATCCAAAAGACTAGCTGTCGGCCAAAAAGAGTTCCTTTAAACCCACAAGAGGTTCTATATCTTTATAAGTGTTCCTTTCAGCCCAAAACAGTTCTTGGCGATACAAAAGATCTTCTTTGATCCAATAAAGACTTTCTGTAGAACCATGAAAGTTCCTGTCAACCAAAAACAGGTCCTGTGGATCCAAAAGAGTTGTTGTCTTCTTTGTCGAATACAAACTTGTCCTACATAAACTGCTTAAAGCCAATCAATCATAAATTTTTCTTTTCCAACTCTGAATTCCTCTTAAACTTGTCTCTAAACTCAAACTCGGAATCTTCACATTCAGACACTCAATCTGTGAAATTCTCGATTCAACCCTAAAGCAAGTATCTCAAAAATTTGATCCTAGAGAGTCCAATGATAATACAGAACGAGTACACGAGCAGATTTCATAAACTTGCAATCAGCAGAAAATACAAAAAAAAATTCAATGACATGTCTGCCTTATCTCCATCCCCTTTATTACTCATTCTCATCTCAAATTTCAATGCTAATAATCAACTTTGTCTCATCTTCTTGTTCCGTACCCATTCTACATATATACCTTGATTGAATGAATATATATTAAATTAAAGAGTGAAATACATTTTCAGAAAGATGAGTAATTTCTGTGAGCAAGCAGATGAGTAAGTAAGTACAACCGAGAGTTTTACAAAGTTAAGATTTATTCAGATGCTTCAAATTTTATTTTTGTTTACTTTGTGCACTGAGTGGAGCTTTCTTCCAATTAAATTGAGAATTTTGTGATTTCTGTGAGATTTTAGATGATGTTGATTTTTTGCAGACATTCATAAAATTTTTCGGAGGTGGAAAGTTTTTGGAAATAATCAATTTTGGTGTAGAAATGATTTTGAAGTTTAATATTTGAAGTCTTGTGTCAATAAGAAGAAATTTAAATTGAATTTAGAATTATTAATGTAGCTATGGGGGACTGAACTTAAATAGCTTTGCTTCATGCAAAGTATATGGTCATGAGTTCCAAGCTGGTCCATGTCGATCCTCTTCTTAGACTCTGTTGAAATCTCCAATTAAAAGTTTCCCATCTTTTGAATCAAATCATTGAGCAATATAAAAATCTTTGGAACTAAACTATAAAAAAGCACAAAGAAGAAAAATTTTAATATTATTCAAATAATTCCTTTGAGGAGTTTCCAATGGGTGCCGATGGTTCTTATTCTTCGAAAATGGTCCTTATTCTTCGAAATCGAAAATTCGAATTTGAATTTTTTTCAAAAAATGAAATTCCGTTAAAAATATTTCATCAAAAAATTATATTTGTTTACATCAGTAAAATTTTGATTAATTTTCATTAATTATGGGTAAAACCTGCAAAATTGCAAGCTGCAACAAAAATAAAATAATTACAAATCTTTTTAAAGTACCTAAGCACTCATTAAACAAAGATAAATGATTGTTATTTTTAAAATCAAACAACATAAGTGTCGACAGAAGTGAGATTTCTGCTGTAAGTGATTGTAACACATTCAAGACAAAATTTTCAGATATTATTCTTAGTCAGGTTGAAATTCCATTTGAGCATTGTTCAAAGACTATTGAAAATTTAATATTATTTTTTGTAACTTTTCGATCAAAACTTGAGCTTCATTGTCGATTGTTACATTCAAAAAACAAATTTGCGTCAAAGAATTGATTTTTGTTCATAAATAAATTTAACGGTCTTTAAAATTTCAAAATTTTTTATAAAAAATTATTTTTCGAATTTTTTCGAAACAGGTTTGAATTTTAAAAAAAATAACGGTCTACATTGTTGTAGGCACCCATTGGAGGAGTTTAAACCTTAAGTTATGCAATTTTGATGCTCAAACTAAATTATCGACGAATGTTGATTAAAAACTTTTTCTTGCTTCTTTTAAATAAACATTTTTGCCAATTTGCCGAAATCATTTTCATTCAATTTTAAGCTGAAAAACAAAAATACTTTATTGAAAATGTTTTATCCTCGTTGTTCCTCATTTAAGTAGTGAACGAAGAAGGAATAAGATGAAGAAAAACAAGACAAACATCGAGATTATTTGAAGCTTTTTCTTGTGAAGTGCTTCCCAAAAAAAAAAAGCGAGGAGGAAAAAAAAACTTTATTAGCATCGTTAGCAATTTAACTATGAAAGCTTTTAAAGTTTTAATTTCAGGTCAATGAATATAATGAAGGAGGGTTAATAATAAAAAGCGGAAAAGAATTACAAAAAGCTTTCATCTCGTTTTTTCGTTTCCGAAAGATAATTAAAAGTCTTCTTCAATATTCTTCATTGAGATTTTATGGATTTATTTATCTCTTTGCATTTTCATCGCTTTATTTTCATTTTGCTGGTTCTGCCAATTTTCCTTTGCTTTATTAGTTCGAAGTGGATGTATTTTGCATAATGAATTGGTTGTAAATAAGAACTAGTCGTGAGTAAGACTAAGTACTCAATGGCTGAGTGGTAAGACTGGAAGTCTTTAGTTCTCTTATTTTTGAGGGCAACGGTTCGATTCTTATTTATTGAGAGTTGTCAACATAACAAGATTATCAACTCTGATTGAAAGTTTTAAGAACCACTGACTTTAATCGACTGATAAACTTATAAGTGCTAATTTATTAATCTCAAATTATCTCGTGATACGTTAACGTATTATATTCACTGATAACATTATCAATCACATGTATTGGACAATTTACTAAAGATAATTTCAGTATAAAGACGTCTGTTTGAAGTTATAGACTAAACAGTATTAAAGCTAGTTACCAAAAAATAAATAATTTAATAAAATGGAGCAATTTCTTAACAAAAAGTACAAACTGGATAGAACAGAAAACTTTGAGGCAATGATGAAGGAAATGGGATTTAATTCTGTGATGATCAAAATAGCAAAAACTTTCACAACTGTAGTGCAGCTTACAAAAAAAGGAGACTTATATTCACTTAACTCAACAATCATGCTCTTCTCAACTAGTCAAAAATTCAAATTAGGCGAAGGAAAGAACGTCACAACATCGGATGGAAGAAAAGTAGTAAATATCTTTGAAATTGAGGGTAATAAACTGATTGAGAAGCAAATTGGAGAGAAAACTTTGATAATTGAGCGAGAATATTATGAAGATCAAATGATTGCTAGAGCTGGATTTGAGAATGGGGTAAAAAAATTAATTTTACAATTTTCGTGAAACTTTTATTGATGAAAATAAAATATTTTAGGAGGTCTGTACGAGTTGGTGTAAAGTTGTGCCGAGTTAAGCAATTAAATGAATTTTTATGAATTTTGTTGAACACTTTTGGGGCTATTCACAAATGCCATCTACTTAATAAAATATTTTAAACATACTTCTTTATTCCATATTAAATTTAAAGAACTTCAAGAGGTCCAATGGGGTCTGGACTATTTGTTTAAGATAACAAATCTCGTAGTCAGCTTCGAGTAGCCTCAAAAAAACGACTTGAGTCAACTTTGAGCTATGTACATTGCATTTCTAAAAATCCTCTTCTCCCTTCCTTTTTGATCATGACCTCATATCTGGTTGATCCCATTTTTTATTGCTTCCTCCATATAAAAAAATTAATCAATAAAAAATTTATTAATCAATGAAACTAAAGTTTGAATGACAAAAGGACTTCAAAACTTTATAAAACAAAAAAAAATTAATAATAAAATAAAAGTTTCCAACAGTAAAACTCTTTCCATCCTTCCTTCAATTTTCAATTGCTTTTCGAACTTCAATATTTAAAAAGACCAATCAATTGCAATTTTCATCAGAGCTTCAAGTATACTCTCGTATAAAGCTTGTAAATGAATGATGACTGAGAACTAAATAATTTAAAATAAAATTCATAGCTATAGCAACAGTACATCATAAACCAGAACTGAGGCTATTAATGGAATTGAGTTGATGTCGATTGAAAATAGTGGAGAGGAAGTGTGATTTATGTATGGAGCCGAAAATGCGGATATTTTACGTGTACAGCATAAAGCGCATTCATCAACTGTCAAAATAATTTTTAAGCATTCCTGCATGCTTATTAATTGTAACATGACATGTATACTTACCACATCACTGTATTATGGATGATTGAGCGACATGAATGCAGTGAGTTTTAATCAAAATGATGATGGGTGGCTGCATAAATAGTTTGGTTGAATTTTTAGGGTTAAGGTGGATTAGGTGAGCATTTAAAGATTATCATTTGAGCATTTATGAAATTAGTCAGAGACTGGAGAGAATCGAACCTTTGTCCTTACATTGAAGCGAAGACAAGTGTGTTTTCCAGCCACTCGGCAATAAAGAACTAATTCTAGCTTTGGCAATTACGCTTATTAAAGATTCGATCCGCTCAATTCTACCCTGATCCGACAACACATCATTAGAACAAATCCAATCTTAAAACCAACAAGTTTGGACCAAACTAATTCATACAGTTCTTTAAAAATACATAAATACATACCAAACCAGACAAACCACAATAAACCAGAACTATTAAAAACCTCAAAAACTCAGCTACAAAGGAAAATTATTTCCACATCTCATTCCTCATCCCACCAACAAGCCCTTTCATCAACAATTTTAAAAATAAGCGACACGGCACTGATATTTACAAAGCGAGTAATTTTTTCCCATTTTCACACACTCTGTGATGCTCAGTCTGAGTATATGAATATGATGTTGAATGCTGGATGGAGAGATCCCTCTTCTGCACACTAATCTGTTTTTTATTAACATACAACAAGCACCATTTAGGGACGAGAAATGAATGCGATTCAGTGCGAGAAATTAAGAAGAAAAGATGGTAATTTGGAGCAAATGAAATGAAATAAAAGAGAATGTTTAAGGAACATACACAAATACACATATAAATGTGTATATATTTGATTCTACAGAATGTAAGTTGTACAAATGAAAATACTCTAAATCAGTGCTAAAGGAATTTTAATTAAAAAACTTTTTCTTTTTACTTCGTTTTTCATCTTCTTATCAACACCATCGTGAGATGAAATTGAGCGGCAAAGGAAGAAATATTGACTGCATATATGTGAATGCGGTAGCGATGAGGAAAAAAATTCCTTCATTTCCACCAAGAAAACTCATCTCATTTTATCCAATTTTTCTACACTTTCTCTTTTGTACTCAGTCAGTCACTCATTGGCAGGGGTGTAGTTAGGGAGGTTTGGGAATTTAATTATTTTTTCGAGTTTCTGCAATTTGCTAATGTTTTATGAACCCCCCTTTAATTTAAATTCATACCTCCACCCCCCCCCCCCCCCCTTCATCTCGAAAAACACTTAGAACGTCGCTCATTCTTGAGTGATTCTTTGCGTTACAAATCAAGAAAAATTGAATTTTTCTTCTTCCTCATTTTATAATATATTAAATAAATGTGCTGAACAATGATGTGTCATGATAGGCAACATAATATGGAAATTTATTTTATTTAATGAAGTGAAATTTTTGTGTGGGAGAATTTTTTGTCTTCTTCGATTTCCTCGACGACGTTTCATAAGAATATTATGAGCATTCCTCAAGACTCGCGAGTAAAGCGGAAGCGAGAAAAAGAAACAGAGATTAGAGCTTATAGAATCTGAATTATTTTAATAAAGCTAAGCAGAATATTTTTTTCATTGAAAAAGGAAGTTATTATTAGCACTGATATTGAAAATGCTTTGGAAATTAGAAAATTTGAATATCTCAAGTTACTCAACTTAAAGAGAATTTTAGGAAGCTTGTTTATGGATGATGGTCTGCTTATTTTAGGTAATTTGTCAAGCAGCGAAGCTTAATAATTATTTTTATCTTTGAAATAAAATTGAATAGATTTGTTAATAAAGGCTGGATTTAACTTTGGTGGACGAAAAGCTAAAGAACTTTCAAAAATAAATGCTGACCGGAGACACAACCAAGTGGAAGTTGAACAACCAAGAGGTAAAAATCGGGACTATCTTGCTTACCCGATCGGCAATCATTGAAATGTTTGCCACCCGTCGACGGAGTTGATTGTTTAATAAGAACCAAGGGCAGCAGTCGTTTGAAAGCCATTTCAAACTAGACGTCAAGTGTTTGCCATGTAGCTGCCATTGTCAATTAGTTGCCGCTAAGTTCTAATTATGCTATCAACTTGTCAATGAATTTTAATTTGTTCCGATCGTGATAATAGTGTACAGCATGACTCAGTTTCCAAGATGGAGCAAATATGAGGATTAAGGATGGCCAATGCAGCCTTACTCAAAAAAGCATTGTTCTTCAAAATTCATGTTACATTATTTAAACTTTCATCCATAAATCTTCTCTTTGCTCTCAATACCCACAATCCACTTACAATTTGCTTAGAAAAATGATTGTTACAAGCTCTCTCAATATCATGACAGCTTAACTTACATCATAAAATGAAAAATTTATTCAAAAAAAAAATCAAAACTTTTCTCTACAACCATATCCCGTTGAATATGCTTTTCATTTTTCTTTTATCTTCGCACAAAGTTTTCCAATTCACAATGCTTTTAGACATAAATTTTATTCCAATGTCTTTCAATGATTCATTGCACACGCACGTTAAAAATCTTTCTCCATATCTCTAAAATAAATGTAAAATTCATCTTTTTTTCTGTTTTATATTCTCAAAATGTTGTTCTTTTTCTCATTCCTCGTCTCATGCATGCATATTCAGTCATTCATAAATTTTTTAAAAAAATATTTTTTTTATACGCAGAAAAATTCCGTTATATTTTTTTTTATCGAACAATCAGTCGAAAACAACATTTGCATATGATGAGCATGTGCATCACACAAAAGTATTTCTCGTCTTTTTTTTTATTATTTTTATTTGTTTTAATAACGGCACATCCAACAATGGCAACAATATATACATGTATGAGTAGCGATAAATTCTTTTCGAAATACGTTTTGGTTAACGGCGCGAGTAAAAAAAAGGAAGTCGGGAAGCGGAACTGAAGAGAAAGTGCATGATAAAGAGGAAGGAGTTAGGGTGGAAAAAAAATTCATAAAAATCCAATTAAACTCGCAACGACATAAATCATATTTTTTTCTGTCTGTATTTTAAAATTTTTTTATATTTTTTTCTGTACATTCTTTTGGTAGCTAATTTTTGGAAAGACATGCATGGATGTCGTTTGTCTGCAGATGAAGAGAATCTTGGCTGTCTGATAAATAGTCATCAATTGCATTAAGGACCTAGCAAGGGAGAATTTTGATGTCAATACTTTTGCTTCTTCACTGCTCATTTCTTAATGATTTCTGGCAGTGATTGTAGCAAGAAATGAAGAAAGAAGTTACAACAGCACCTCTCATAGAAAGGCAACTTCAAAAACCTTCCCAACATTTCCTAAATACATCAAACATAAAAAAAAAGGTTTCCAAATTACAATCACATGCGCTTAAAATTCCCTATCACATCCTACACCGCTTCCTAAAAAAAATAAAGTTTTAGTGTTTTTAAAAACAAAGCAAAACAAAACTCATTCAGTACAAATGTAGCAGCGCGAGTAAAAAAAACTGCACGGAAAATTTATCGCTTTCAAACTGAAATGTGTGTACAAAAGTACTCTTTTATTTCGGTTGTCGGTTGATGTGAAATGATGGCAAAGTGTATCATTTTTCAGTGGCTTTTAAGCTATAAAAAGCTTTCGACTATCAACACAATAACGAGACGTGAGTACAATAACAAAAAAAAGGAACAAGGCGAGTCAGAGAGTGAGGAAGAAATGAAAATGAGATGGGATCGGAAAACAATCAGTAAATTATGCTCAATAACAGCCTGAACGCAAATGTCTGTACACCTACACATTTTCATTCATAATGGAAGTTATAGTATTTTCACCACAATGCATGCACTCAGCAAAAGTGAATTAAATGATCGTCTTTTTGTTCTCTCATCTGATGTTAATTAAAATTCAATTTCTGCAATGCATGAAATCCATCCATTATTGAAGATAGTTCTTTTTTTTGTTTTTTGGTTCAATGATACTTGAAATGCATTTGTTGATTGGCTCTTGAGATGCTTTTTTTGTATCTCGGGTAGGAAGTCAAGCGTATCGTGGGAATAAATGGATCAAGTATTCAATGGAAATGGATTTGATTCTACAAACTAGAACTTGATTTTTCTCTCCTCTTGCTGCTGGTCCTAGTCATACCAAAAAGTTATAAAAATTGTTGGTTTTTGAATTTTGATCCCCCCCTTCCCTTCCTGTCACCATGTCCTTTAAACATTTTTTTTTTGAACTGTCACAAATGCTCATAATCTCGTAACAATCAGGTGCATTAAAGATTGCACACACCAACACGTCAGACATGTGGAACATGCTCCATAAAACAGTGTAAATAAAGGCTTAACCAATTGCGTTCTGATTTAAGACTTCAACAAACACAACAAGATCAAAATGAGCACAATATTTTCACCATAAAAAGCGTACGCATCAAACATTTTTATTACATTTAATGCGTCAAAAATGAAGGCATTTTGTGCTCACAAAAATGGAAATCTACAAGCACAAATGAAGTGAATTTATCTTACTAATTTTACTCTATTTTTATTACATCTACTCACATTCATTTCGAGTCCTAAAACTGCTTGTCTGTTAATAAAATAGAGATTAATAAAAGCAGCAGGAGCAGGCAACATCAACACACATGCTAAAGCAAATTCCTTCCTTTCAACATCCGAAACTTTGAAGATTAGAAGGAGAAATTTTTTTTACAACTTGCTTCATTAAACACAACACACGAGGCTAAAATCTCACTCTTGTATTTGTATTTGCTCATGTGTGCTGTACGAGAGATGGCAAGAAGGAAGGCACGAAACAACTTTGTAATGAATCACATACGCATGAATTCCCCATTTTCATCACAACTAAAAGTCAATAAAAGTGTTAAATTATTCACATCAATTAACTAATTATTGAAGCTTTCAACAAAACCTTTCTCACTCAATATACATGATAACTTATTGCCTCGATTCACGAACACATCATCATCATCATCACCTATATTCATTTTAATGCAATTTTCATCAAAATCAAAAAAAACTTTTATTATTTTTCCTAATTGAATTATTTAAGCGCGTGATTGTGAGGAAGTTTAATATGAGGAATAGAAGTGAGTAAGGAGTGTCTTTTTGGGTTATAATGTGATTAAAGCGCATATAGAATCAATTAGTTGAAGTTAAAAGAATTTCTGACCTCTTATAATGAATTAAAATGTTTTTAATGACAAATCGAATATTTTAAGACCCCCTAGACCCCCCCCCCTATCCCCCCTTCCCTTTCTCTTCTTCTTGAAAAAGTTTTTGATTTTAATTAAAAATTGAATTCATTTATATATGAAAGTGATGTCAAATTAAACCAAAAAATGAAATGGCACCAAACCTTTTCTTAGCAAGGGGGTTCTACACGATCAAGGCCCCATTTAGAAAACTGCGACTAAAGCTACAAATGTGAATTGATTTTGCGTCAGATTAGTCAAAGTTTTTACTGAAAATAAAAACAGCTATCAACAGAATTTAACCTGACAAAATGCCAAAAACATTCACCTCACTATTTCACACCGATTCCGCCTCCCTTAAAAAAAACATGTACACAGAGAGCGTGTGAGAAATAAATCGGAACAAATTGAATTTGAAATTTGTTTTTAGATACATTTAGAGAGTGAAAAGCTGCAAAAAGTTTCGCTATTTTTTTCGACAATAATGAAGAAGAATTGGCAATGGTATTAAAATTTGATAAAATGTATTTAATTGTAAATATTGTTGAATGAAGTGTGAGAGAATGAGATTTAATTAGCAAAACATTGAGGATTAGCAGAATAGTTTGTTGCTATTTGAGTGAGATTAGGTTTGTGTTGTGTGTGTGTTGTTGTGTTGAGAGTGGATAATTTTGAGTTTCGTTGTTTTGGAGAGGCAAATAAATTTAATAATCAAGAGAATAAAAATGGGGTAGTTGGAGGTATATGTCTGGAAGTTGGGGGTATTTGGTGGTATACTGCCTAGATTCAGAGCTTAGGAACAAACAATGCATGGATTAAACCCTATCATCCCCCCCCCCCCCTCCCTTGACTAGGCTATATATAGAATATGCATCAACATTCATAATCATAGTTGATGGGGTCTGTGAATATAAAATTATAAGATTCTCTTTACAAAGTGGTGAAGGTGGTTCCCCCAAAAGCATTTGAATACACCTCCAAATTACAACTGCTCTGAATATAATATTAAATATATGCATCCTTTTGACAAAAGCTCATTATCAAATAAACTTCGTAGTCACAGCAATAAATTCAATGAGGGAAATTTGTGCAATATGCTGCAGTTAAAAAATTAAAATTCATGGAAATAAACTCATTATAATATTGAAATCTCTCAACTGAAGCACAATAATAAATAAAGAAGGTTCATTAAAAAATATAATGGCTTGAAAAATGGTAAAGATTAACTCTGTGAAAAAGGAATGAAGAATTTGTAATAAATTAATGAGATTGGCAATTTTGAGAGTCAAATTGTAAAATTATTAAGTATTCTATAGGAGTTGAGTTGTATTGGATGCCGTCTAGAACAAGAGTCTAGCATTAAAATAGATTTTCAGGTTTATTGCTCTTGTATTTGCACAATTCGGCTCAAACTGGTTGTGCATATAGTCTCGAACGGCAAAAAGGTTCATGTTGACATGATAGCGACGTAGTGGCACCTTTTCACATTGTCGCCTTATAGGCCACAGTTTCCACGTGACAGGATTTGACGGGACGACATCACCATACCACCTTAATAACTCGAACTAGTTCCTCGAACGGATGCAACTAGATTCTTATCAAACGTCAGACTTTACAGGAGTACTATTTCGCCAAATTCATTAAAACTTCCAAAGTGATCTCCTGTCAACTCAGCTTCTTGGTTGGAATCTTTTATCAATTCTAATAGATTTAACTTTGCATATCCTAGAATGAACATCATCACATCTATCTCATCGATGCATAATAAATCAATAAATACAATCAAACCCCATGACAACATTCATCTCAATTTTTTTAAAAAAAAATTAATCTCTCAACTCATCGACATCAATAAGAACAATTTTAATTAATTTTCTCATCAGTCGCGATGAAGAAATCAATAAGTGAACACACAAAACGGATAAGAAGTGCACCAAAGAAAGAAGAAGTCCCAAAAGCGCCACTAAAAGAAGAATCTGACAGAAATCCAGGAAGAGATAGATCTTCTTTTAGTTCAATTCCTATGCCGAGTCTTCAAGATGTTTATACGTCAACCTTACTAAAAGCTGAAGCTGCAATTGAAGCTAGCATTAAAAAGGAGGAGGAACCAAAAGAAGAAGTTGTATTGCGTGATGAACTCTGCAATGCGTATCGATTTGTTGTAAATTATGGAGTTTTTGAGCCGAACTTTGAGTGGCTTCCCCACGAGGTAACTTCCTTGATAATGACAATTTGTCTCAAACTTGAACTTCAATTTTAAATTTTTTCTGAGACTTTCACTTTCAAAAATTCAAGTTTAAATTTAGTTTTTCTTTATTTTCTATTTATACAAATTAAACAACATTCGATTAGCTCATTAATGTTTATTTACAATTAATCTAATTTTAGCTTCTCATTCACATCTTTCAATATCTAAACACGCGCGACTTGTTAGAAGCTGGTCAAGTCTGTCGACAATGGATGGAAGCGACACAATATTTCCGATTGTGCCGCAAAATTCTTCTTCATTTTCAAATTTTCAAATATTCTGACACGGCACATCCAATAAATCGTTTCCTCAGCTGCTCACGATTTTTCCCAAACATTAAATTTTCAATTGTTAAATTCACGCCGAAAAATGATGCCTTTTGGGAGCTTTATGGTGAAATGGTTGAACAATTGACATTCAATTCGTGTTTAATTAATAAACCCGAGTTTTTAAGAATTATTCGACTGTGTCCTGGTTTGACAATGTTGAGTATAACGAGGTGAGTTGAATTAAATGATGAGAATTTTTAAATTAAATTTCCTGATTTGTGATGCAAAGAGAATGTTTGAATCGACAGTGATTTTCAAATGGTTTAATTAATAGAGCTTTTAGGAGTGAAATTTTGTGGTTGTTCGAAATTATGTGCAATATAATATTGCATGTTTATTAAATCACTGACTGCATTATTGTTTGTGGGAATCATTAGAAACTAGATCTGCTGAATGTTATGCTTGACTAGATAAATTGAGTTAAAATAATCAAATTCAGTGTACAGTGAAAAAGTCAAAAGCAACATTGCCTCCGAGAATCCAATTATTTTTCATTACTTTACATCATAATTAGAGAATAGCTCATTTGACATGTAAGACAATCCATTGAACTCACATGTCAGTCGTGCAAAGTCCTATTGAATACTACAAACAACCATGCTCCCGAATTTGATCCAAAAATAATCCACAAAATGTCTCCAAATGAACCAAAAAACCACATACAACAAAAATAATATCAAAAATATTTCCATTTCAGATGTGACGATTTATACAAAACATGGTCTGTAGTAAAGAAATCAAATCTCGTCAAAATGAAACTGCCCCAAATGTTGTATTTGAAAATTTACGAGACATCATTATTAACGAAAGATATTTTCAACTTTATGGTTGCAAGCATGCCTAATCTCACAGCATTGACTATCGCAAATTGCTTTGGAAATTCCAAACCAAAGGATAGAGCCGATATATTGAACGCAATAATCGATTTTCTCTCTAAACGATCGGAACATATAAAAGTTTTAAATCTTGTCAATACGCAAACGGATGATTTGTTTCTGGAGAAATTGGCTGAAATCAAGGGCCTTAGGTTAAATGAACTGCGGTTGACATTTAATGGCGTCGTTACAACGCTTGGTAAATGTGGAATATTAATGTTGATACGTAATCAAAAATATTTGGAGATATTAGATCTCACTGACAGTAAGAGTCTATCAAATTTATGTCTAATGGAGATCTGCAAACATATAAGTCAATTAAAGGTACTAATCCTCAATAAATGTTGGCTTATAAATGATGTCGGTCTCCGTGAAGTTCATCGTTTGTTACATTTGGAAGTACTTGACATTACAAGTTGTGACCGAGTCACAGATTTAGGATTGCTTGAGGGTCTGATACCGCAAGGAAAGAAATTTTTCAGATTAAAGGAGCTTTATTTGGGATTATTGCCATACATGAGTATATTAGCTGTATATCGTCTAAGTCAGCAATATGATGAGCTTCAAGTATTAGATCTATCAGGCAGTTCAAATTCAATTACAGACGAGACGCTTCAAATGATATTTCGTTATCAGCTCAAATTGAAACACCTTAATCTCGATTGCTGTGCAAAAATCACAGACATTGGAATGACAGGCTTATCAGAGCACGATGAGCTCGGCAATTGTCAAAATTATATCCCGTATACAATAAATAGTCTAAAGGATTTACAATATCTAAATATCACCGGATGTTATCAAATAACTGACAAATCCCTGCTTAAATCATTTGATCTGCCCGAATTAAAGGAAATCAACATGTCCCGTTGTCACAATTGTACAGAAATTGGCATAAAAGCTTTATGCAAAAAATGTCCATTGTTGGAAGTTATTGATTTGTCCGAATGTTTTCACGTCAAGGACAGTACTGTGGATATGGTGACTAAACATCTCACTCGGCTAGAGACATTAAAGCTCAACGGATGTGAGCAAATAACAGATGCAATTTTAGATGATATTGGAGACAATTGCAAATATTTAAAGGTTTGATTTGTTCAATTCGAATCATTCAGGATGATGATGCTTGTGTTTTAATTTTGTGTGCTGTTTGTGATTGGATGTAAATCAGTTTGACCTTACCAAGAGGCCGTTAAATTTTTACCTGTCCTTTTTAAGGCACAAGAGGCTCTAGGATTTTATATCAGTTTATGCAAATAAATTGTTCCTGTATGTTTTGTAACAAGGCATGCTAGAGGGTTTCTTAAAGGTCTCAAGCACTTTACAACCTCCAAAATTCCTGTGTCTAACAATGTTTAGGGCCAACAATACTGAGCATTTTCATAATCATTAAAAAAATCATCAAAATATGCGCTTTAATCACCAATTTAACAACATCCATTACTTAATTTTTTTTATGTCATTTTTCCAGCTATTGACTCTTTTATCCTCTCTCTTTTGCAGAGTTTATACATTCGTCGTTGTCCAAAAATTCAAATAAATCCATTCGAGATCCTCAAGCATGTTCGCTACATTTACAACCAATAAAATCGACTCCAGTCACGATGTCACAGTCATTGATGTCCGAAAAATAACTGATGATTTGTGGTGAATGAGAAATATTTAATTAGATAGATGTAAATTCTCGATGCTCAGTCATGAGAATTTTTTTGTGAATCATATGATGTAATTTAAATTCAATTATTTATTCATTTATTTTAGAGTGGAATTGAAATCCAATTAAAATGTAAATAAACTAGACTATGAAAAATAAATTTAATTAAAAACGGTGATTGATTTAATGATATTGTACATACGTATTTGTGGATTATGTGGTTAATTATGGCATTATTGCTCGGATATAAAATACCTGCGATAAATAAAAATTTCCGATGCAAATTTTAATCCAATTCGCAATTAATTTTATTTGATATGAATGTAAAATGATTTTTAGAGTTCAAGTTTCAATTGCCATTCAGATAATCGATTACCATTAATTTTCTTTTTTGAGAGTCAATTGAATTGACTCATTAAATCAGGATGTGATTGAAATTGGGACATTCATTGATAATAATTGGAATTATTTGTAATGAAAAAATGACTTCATAAAGGTCTTTGAGTCATAGGATACTACCTGAAGCGACACAAAGTGGGCGGAACCAGACATATGTTATTCATATGGACTGCAAACAGATTCCAAACTCCGTATAGGTTTCATATAGCTTTGTTTTAGGTCTTTTTTGCCCAGGTCCGTAGCATCGAATGACAAAAGCAAAATATTAAGGATTCGCAAGCCCAGCTGAGAAAGCTAGGAAAGAAATATCTTTTTTGATTGGCATTTAATAATTTTTTTTGTATTCATCATAAATGAACAACCTCCAAACCTAATTCATTATAAAGAAACATAAAAAAACTATAATTTCAAAATAGTCTAAAGAAATGCAATTTCAGTTAATTTTAAAAACACATTCGTAATTATTTCGACGAAACTTACATTCGATGAAAAACACGAACACTGCGTCGCAGTCACTTGACTTGATTTGAATTTTTGAAATACGTTACACAATTTCAATCCATTCAACATTGCCTCTCATAAGCTAAGTCATGAAAGTAAAAACACATGCACAGAAAATTAATCATCAATATTTCCCTTAGGACCACCACATGCGCTTACACATTTCTTTACCATTTTCAATTTGATTTAACACCATCGATAATTATAATGGTGTATTGGAGAAAATAAATTAACTGCCGTATGGCTACCGTCTTGACATTTAAATTACACCAATAAATACTTATTGTACTAAACTCATTAAGATCATTATGTTCATTTTTCATTACGCATTGTGTTGAAGAATCAAATTGATGGACATGTAGGTAGGCAAAAAGGTGTCAATTGTTTGATTATTGCTGCTGCTTGGTCAAATAATTTGCTAATTCAATAAAAACAAATTTTTATTTTTGTCTGTCAACGAAAAGGCAATTAAATGAAACTTGACTTTTTGCTGCGTTGAATAGTAAAGTAGCAAGTCATCATCATCATCAATAACAGCAACAACTGCTGCACGCAATTATCGTTTACATCATACCTTGAATAAAATAATATTTTTAATAATTTCTTTCATTTTTTTCTTCTGATGAGTTTCCGATTTTCGCTTTTTTTTTGGTATAAGATATGTGTGACCGGTTAATATACTGCGGTACTAAAGAGCTTTTTTTTCTACATCATCATGCGGAGGCATATGAATCTCCGATTGTAAATTATAGTCTAGTGTTATGCGATGTTTCAATAACGTGAAGATAAACGTATGTACATTGTATGAAGATTACTCTATTGATGCGGTATGAGATTCACGATGACGATGATATACGTAACAGATATTGTTTATTAAATGATTTGATGCGCATAGTGATGGGAAAAGGCTGTGTGGCATTTAGCTTATCATAGTAGATATTCTGGTGGACTTTCGATGATTTATGGGGCTTTCAATTGCCCTTCATAAATGATAAAAGGGAGACAAGCAACCTGAAGTGACTAGATCAAGTGACTGGATCGATCCCAACATCTCTCTGTCTCATCCTTAATATCATCAGACTTTCAAGCAATTTAGCATCATCCGTTCATCATATTAATGTTTTTAATACTCGAAAAAATTGTTTCCTTCAATTACAATTTTTTTATAACTACCTGAGCTTAACATTTTGAAAGCTTCAATCAAACATCTACTTAAGCTTCTGACAAAAATATTTGGTACATCCCCGATCTAACGGGGAATTTTTAATAAATTGAGTTTTTCATGCTTAATTTGAGAAATAAAATCTCTAGAAAAAATAATAATAATCTTCAAGAAAAACACTTGAACTTTTTTTGGAATCCATAGTGCTACACGAAGTGATTTAAAATACACTCTGGCTGGCCAATTGCTTGGTTTTGCAGAGGGCAGTCCTCTATTTTTTTTTATTTTTGAAAAATAAAATTGTTTTGTTTTGTTCAAATTCGTCTAGAAAAGGTATAAAATTGGTAGATATGTGGGATGTCCTTAATTTTCCTTTTAGGTTCTCTATTTTTTCAAAAATTATCTGGTCACCTGAAATATCCTTTAATGTTTAAGAGTCAGTTTGAGTGGCTTTAGTCAATAAAAATTATCAGAATCCTGTTTTCGTAGAGGCTCAAAAATTTTGAAGCGTTGGGGATTAAATATATTTTTCAGTATAGAATTTTTATCCGTATTGTCACCCTGGTCAGACCCCTGCTGTCTAAGTTAATTCACAAAAATTCAATTAAACTTCAAAATCCACAACTAAACACAAAATAATGCCTTTATGCACCGAAAGGTTGAAAATTTTCAATCAATTTACTCATAAAATTACCAATGCTACATTCACTAGCTCCACAAAAGATCAAAAACCTCTTTAAAGGCCAAAAAGTCACACAAAAAAAGAGACTTTCGTGGAGCAAAAAGTATTTTATTATAAAAATAAACAACGAATGTCTACAGATCATCAAAAGCACCAAATTACTATAAAAAATGATGACCCATAAATTTCCTAAAATTTCACAGTGAAGCATTATGTCACTTAACATCACTTAATCTTAAAAATTACACTTTCCGGTAAAGTGAAAATTTCTTTGGATGTCACAGACTCATCATGAAGATATGTGGCTACTTGATTATTATTATATAGGAAAGATCATCTGTGGCTCCATAATTAAGTGTATCATTCATTTTATCAGAACTAAATCTTATTGATTTGACTACAAATGAGACCATTAAAGTTGATGGGATACATGTAAACAATAAAATTTCCATTTCCATTAATGATCACCATGAAATTGTACAAACAAAATGATAGTGGTCGTCTTCGTGATGCTTAATGGCACTTAACATGATGAAAATGAGACTTGTTAACCTGCTGTTATTTTCTTTAATTTAATTTAACCTATGTTAACAACAAACGAGCCGCTTTTGAATAAATATTTGTCAAAATCAGGTAAATCATGATTGTTTGGCATCAATTGGATGCACTCAACTAACTGATTGTGGAATTAGCGGTAATCAATTAGGATGTGAGTTGTTGGTATGCAAAAAATAAATATTTTTGTCTGCATTCATGGAATTTAAAGTCTTTATAAGCTAATCAGACAAGGGGACTGGAATCATTTACTTTTTAACTGTAAAAACTAATCAGCGCAGTTTATTTTTATTGCATTTTTTTATTCAAATGACATTTAACAAACTGGAATTAATTTGATAAAAATAATATCCACTTTTCTAAGTTAATAATGGGGGGGGGGGGGTAAAAATGACGTCAATTTAGAAATTGTATTTCCCCCCCCTACCACAGCCACATTCACTAATTTTAATTCTTGATCAAATTATGATACAGCGACAGACTCCTAAAGATCTCAGTCTTTTGAACTGAAGGCATCGCGATTGTAGAATTCCGTCTAGAATCTTTTGATCCATCCCCTTTAGTTCTCTAGTTTAAAGAGAAATTCAAATCATCTACATCATTTATGAATGATCCCCCAAAGCGGTTTTATTCTTAAACGTCTTTGATCGTATATCTTGAACAAAATAAATTCTAACATCCATATGAGCTGTCAAAAGATAACATTTTTCGGTTTTTTTTAACAAACTGATGCAGGATGTTTTGGCAAAAAGTATTTAGATACCAGACGATATGAAATAGTCATCGATCAATACAACATAGTAACAAGTCTTTTTGGAGACTGTTCTTATAATTGAAGTAGTTCTTGAGGATCCAATTCAAATATTGTTTTTTATAAAGAATAATTCAATCAATTGTTTATTTTAGAATCTAGATGGATAAATAACCTTGACTAGCTACTTACATACATAAGATTTCCAATATTATTTTAGCCAATTTTTGCTTGATGTTTAGTTACGGTAATCATCTTTTTTGACGATGATTCCCGGTAATATGTGAAGTATCAAGGCGCCATAACATTGCGTCAAGACGTTTCAGTTTTGTCTATCTTAATTATTTAAATGCTCTTTAATAATGAATAAGGTATTCACTTAATTATTGCAATTAATAAACTTATTGTTCCTATGGGATAAAATCAAGTCATTTTGTTTATATTTAGCAACTACTTCCGTTTGGGCCTTAAATCAGCTCATCATCTAATTAATATCAAGATGATTCAAATGAAAAATAAATATTTATGAGAAAGATAAGCAAAAGACAAGTAAATTTCAAATGTTTGATTTGTGTGAAACGCTACCTTACAATTGTTATTGTCACGTCATTCTTTCCTGTACCTCAAAGACACAGTACAAAGAATGGTGACCAAAAATAAAAGAAACTTCATCTAAAAGGTTACAAAACTATTTTCTGTGGGGTTCTTCTTGATACGCCACTGCTAAACAGTGTCACACTCTTCAACTTGAACATCCCAAAAATCCATTGTAATCTTCATGATTTAATGCGATAGAATATGAGCTTACGATCATGCTTCTCTTCATTACCGATGACATAATTTTTTTGTAATTTTTTATTTTTCTTTTCTCACAGACGCAGGTGGGCATACAAAGATTAAATCTTCAGTCTCATCAAATAAGAAGAGTCATGATCTTCATCTTTTTCTGGTGAAAGTGAGTGCAATTTAGCATTTTTTGAAGGTGCTTATATGAAGATTAAAAATACATAAAAAAAAATTTTTGTTACTTAAGTTGCTTGTTTTTTGGGGAGATGTATAAGTATGCAGAAGTAATAATCAGCAAAAAATGCTGTATTTAATGTTTGTGGTGAGTATTTTGCACTCATTGATTGATATTTATGTCATATTGGTACTAAGTAAGAGTCAGCGCTTCGTTCAATGTGG